GGCCTCACGTGCCCGCAGGCCTGGGGAAGGTGGAGACTGGAGCGGGGGTCCGCGCAGAGGCCTGCACGGCGCGGCCAGGTGATGGTGGGCCTGTGTGTTTCTCCAGAAGAAAGGGGACCCCCGGAGCGGCTGTGCCCCTGGGCTGCCCCTGCGAAGCGTTTTGACATCAGCCGTAGGGAAGTCGGGGAGCCCTGAGTCTGCCTGTCTCCGTTAAGTGCCCTTAGGATGCAGTGATTAAGGAATTAGGCTCTCCCTCCGGGAGGGGCACTGCCTGTGCTTGTGAACTCGGATGCAGAGAAACAGGACAGGATGATGCTGTCCGAGCAAGCCCAAAAGTGGTTTCCAACCCACGTGCAGGTCACAGTGCTCCAAGCCAAAGATCTGAAGCCAAAAGGCAAAAGTGGCACCAATGACACATACACTATAATTCAGCTGGGCAAGGAAAAGTACTCCACCTCTGTAGCTGAGAAAACCCTTGAGCCAGTTTGGAAGGAGGAGGCCTCTTTCGAGCTACCTGGATTGCTAATGCAGGGAAATCCAGAGAAATACATTCTTTTCCTTATAGTTATGCACAGGTCCCTGGTGGGTCTGGATAAATTTTTAGGGCAGGTGGCAATCAATCTCAATGACATCTTTGAGGACAAACAAAGAAGGAAAACAGAGTAAGTTATGTAATTTATTTTGAATTTGGGGGAGTTTATGTCTTATTTATGGTTTTTCTGTTCTTGGAAATTATCCGTATACTTCGGGCGTTGGTTTTTGGATTGAAATATGATCCAGTTTTAAGCACCGTATTTGCATGAATCTGAAGTAAAAGTAGCACTCGTGATGAAATATTTTTTAAATGGAATCATTAATGATCCCTTATTCTTTCTGTTTGAGGTAAACATCTGTCAAATAATTGAATATTTTGCGGTGGATTTTAAGTAAGTTAACATTGTTTCAGTATAAGAGAACTGGATCACAGTGTTGACCAACTAGAACTTCATATAAATTGTTATGGATTTTAAACGTTACAATTGTCAATGAAATGGAAGATCAGAAATTAAATCTGGCAATGTAATGTTGATGTGTCACACTTTGTAGCTGTCGAAAGATAAATTACCAGATTTAGAACTCAGTATTTCATTTCAACGTTATAAACACAGCTTTCATTTTAGCTCATTTTTCGAGGTCAGTACGCCTTGATGGGAGTCTATACCTGTTAGAAAAAAAAAAAAAAAGTTTTAAAAGTGTGTACAAACATCCTCAACTTCGAATGCACTAACATTTTCCTTTGAATTTGCAATTACATCAGAGTTATTGTATTACTTCAGAATTGGTTTTCCAAAGCTATTGTGTTTAGACCATACTAAATGCTGTAGAATTGGAGGGAATGATAAATTTTTGTGATGAAATGATTTGATGACATCTTCAGTGGCCTTTTCAGTATGACTGTTGAGCTTGAGTTAGATATATTTTAATTTAAAAAATCATAATATAAATTAACACTAGGATATTGTGTCTTAAATTGAAAAAAAAATGCTTTTAGAGGTGGGTATACTCACCCCTTCCATCAACTTAAAAGGACATTATATTAATGAAATTAGTGGGAGAAAAATACTGGTTGAACTTCTAAGAGTACTTTCCATTTCCAAAATAGTGTGGGTGTTTCGTTCAGTTATAACTGAATTTGTTTACTGTTTAAAAAACTTTTTTATAATGATATTTTTTATTGAAGTTTATGTTAATTCTTTACATTTTAAAACAACTATCTCTTGTTCTATACATTTCTGCTCTTAGCCTTCTCTTGATTGGAGTTTGTTTCATTTCAAATCAGGTCTTTACCTAAGATTTAATATATGTAGAGTAAAAGTGTAGACAGATCAGAAATACTAGGAAGGCAGGAGGAAAAATGGTACTATTTAATTGAGATGAAAATATTTTAGAAGGAGGGAAAAAGTTTTTTTTTTTTAAGTGTAAAGTTTAATATATATCAATGATTTGAATAATAAAATTATTTGATACCTAAAGAGTGGCATTCAGTTTCCTCCGAGGGATTCTTTATCAAATTGAAAGTGAAAAATGGATAATTACCAAATAATCTGTTTCAAATTGCCAATTTTGGGTGACAGTAAATATTTAACATATTTTGAATGTAAACTATTAAGTATATTGCACCTTCAAATTCCTCACTTCATTTATGGTACTTTAATATTCATGGATCATGTATTTCAGGCCTTCTCCGAAACATAAATTTTCCTAGTGAAAGTAGGCCCAAATGTGAACCCAAGGAGTCTGAGGATGAAATAACCTTTTACAGTTTCTTCTTCTTTTACTCCTAGTCCTGGGCAACATCACAGTTACAATACATTTGCTGTGAGCAATACTCTTATATTGTGGTCTCTCCTTACAGAAATTCTGTACTGGCTATTGTATAAAATTGATTAGAACTTAGGGGAAAAATGCTTTTAAATGTTATCAACAGGGTTTGTGATGTTTTTGCATTCAAAGTGATTTTCATATGTTATTAAACCCCTAACATTTTATTTGTGGATAAATGGGGACCATGTATTTGATGAGGTATCTTTATTGGTAATATTTCTAGTTTTTTAATATATTTAATAACTTCCTTTTCTAGCACAGCTGTACCTGTGGCCCAGTAAGAGACAGACTTGAGCCACTGGTATATTGCAAGAAAGGTATTTAATATTCTGCACATTGCTAAACCTTGTCAGCATATTCCCAAGTGCTTTTTAGAAAACTGTTTTCAGTGATGAGGACTACCAACTGACTTAGAAGTCCTATGAAACTGCTGAATGTGACACTTTTTACATTTTGATACTGAAGATGTATGTTTACAGTTTGTCTTCCAGTTGCGTCATGATAGGTAAAGAAGTATGACAACTAAAATTATTACTTTACTTATTTTCTTACCTTGAAAATAAATTTTTTTTTTTCTCTCTTCTCTTAAGGAATGGGGAAAAAGGCCTGAGCCAGGACCCTTTGAGTGGGCCTGGGAAGAGAACTTCTGTATCTCCTCCTTTAGAGGATGTCTGGGTTGGTTCTGGCATGAGATTTAAAGAAATAATACAATGTTTAGTAATAGAATGTTAAAATAATTGATGCTGTTACATAATATCCATTGATTTTTTACAAAAGAAGTAGGTGATGTTGACTTTTTTTTTTAAATGCTCATGAAGAGTAATAACTAGAGTCTCTAGAGTTAGCTATGACTCAAACATATGCAGATTTTAGGATGTGTGTGTGTCTCAGCGGTGCACCTGTGTCCTGGCCTCTGGCACCTTTACTGCCAATTTTGTCCCATTTCTGACCACACAGCACCAATTGCTTGGGAATAGTTCCCACATGTGTGCTGGTTTTTGAACATGGACCTGTGTCCACTAAAAATTGAACAGAGGCCATGTACAGTTTAAATCCAGTACTCCAGAGGTGAAAAAAAGTCAGCTAGTCCAGTAAGCTCCAAATGCTGTGTCTTCATTTTATCTTTCTGAAGACTGGAAAAACAAGTGCTATCTCCGAAATGATTCGTGAAGATCTCATTAAGACTTCCCTGTTACATCATTTTCAAAACAAAGCAACTAAAGTTATTTGTCATTGCTACATTTTCAATGAGTATGTTTGTAAAAGTTCTTTGTAGTTTTTTTCGGGGGGTGGGGAATGGACATTATAGTGTATTTACACGTTGTAATCAAATACTGATTTGCTTTATTCAGGTTTACACAGGTCTTTACAGTTCCCTACTAAAAAACAAGACAATATAAAACACACACACACACACACACACACACACACACAGAGTTGTAGCTTACTTGTAAGAGTATAGTTCTAGAAATAAAAATTGAATAAACATTTAATGCAAGGCAGACTGCCTTCCAGGAGCTTGTACTCTAGCAATACAAAATTTGCATTGTCTTTCTCTTCAGCTCTCATGTCTCCTGATTAAATACAGTGTCCTGCAGTGTGTGCCAGCCATGTGGTTAACCTTATTAACGTATGCGGTTCATCAAATAAGAAAGAGCTTCTATTTTCCTGCAGATGTTATTCATCAACTTTAGATTTTTTTCCTTACTGACTTTAATCTGACATTGGGAAGTTACATATCATTCCTTGTGCCTCAATTTCCTCATCTATGAAATAAAGATGTTAAAGTAGATGATTCATTGGTCTTACTTCTAAAATTCTATGATTTTCCACTACCTCACTGCCTTCCATTTTGGGGGTAATGATTTTTTTTTAAACTCATATTTGCTTTGTTACATACATGCTCGTTTTTGTTTGCATATTTTTGGTACATATTTTTGCAAAGTATATTCACCTACATTCTATAAAACCTGAGATACTACAGAGTATTTCTGAGATACTGTTCATCAGATGTGTTTCTCTCCCTATTGAAAATGGCTCTGTTTGCCAAAACTTGGAGGTAACTGGGTGTATAATCTACTTCATTTCCAGGCTTTTTGAGTGCTCAATTGTATGTTATTTAAGGTTGCCTATTTCACAGAGTTTATTGCTGTCATTTCTTATTTCTAGCCCCTGTTTCTTCAGATTTTACCATTTGCCTTACATAAGGAATTTTCTCAGTTTAAGGTCTCAAGCTAATGCCATTTAAAAATATTGATATTCTAAGAAATGGCTAGTGTTGATGCAACTATATCTGAATTGATTGAATTGCTCCAATTTAGTTAATCAAGAAAATGTTTTTCTTCGGTGTTACTTGCTAAGATGTAGCTGGTATTTATATCATGTGCCAGTTCTCTGTTCTTCCTGGAAGACCTGTGAACCAGTGTTTCAACTTGATATACAGTAAATGTAATCTTCTCCTGGCATATCCACTTGGTAACAATGAGAGAAAGAACTAATGTAAAATTAGATCAGAGTTCCTTTGTAGCTAAGAAAATTTGTTACACTCGGTTAGAGCTATATTTAAATAATAACCTGTGTACAGGAATGGATATTATGCCTCATCGCTAAGTTATATGAAAACATTGTAGAAACTCTTTCAGGCTTGATTTTGTAGTTTTTTTGGCTGTTTTCCCATAGAATGACCACTTGTGACGTGGACAACTGGAGAATTTCTCATGGATAAAAATACTATAAAACCAAAATATTGCTTCTTGTACATCATTTAAATATAGATAGTGCCATACATTGAAGTGACTAAAATATAAGATTTGGCTTCATTTACAAAATAATTTTTATTTGGTGTTGTCACAGTAGCAATAGTAAAATGAAGCAAATAGATTCAAAAGAAAGCATTTTAGGTTTCTTTTTCCTTTTGAAAATTTCACAAGATTTATTTTTTGTCACTTCTTGCATTTTACTTATTTTGCATATTCAGGAATAGGCTTTGATCCATTTTATATCAATCTAAGTGACATTATATGCTGTTTTAATGATTAGCAAGCTGTATATAGTGATCTCCAATGTTAACAAAATTCTTTGGCTACTTTTACATAAGTAATATTTTGGGATAGGGCCAAGTATTTATTATTGTATTAAAATGTCATCAGTATTCATTTTATAATGCTCAAAAATAATTTGTATTGGTGAATTCTTTCAAAGTCTGCCTCAGTATCTTTTAATGTTAAAAAAAATGTCCTTAGGCCATGAGCAACACTTAGTCTCATATGGAAAACTTTTAGCATTGATAAGAATTTTTGATGATGAGTGATTTTCAAATCAGAAAAGATTAAAAACATTTTCAAACTTGCTAAAGACCTCTTCATTTCTTCAGTATATGTTACATCACAGAGGCAATGATCAGTTTTTTAAACTAAACAATGGGTAAAGCCGGAAATACTGTGGCTGACAGATTCTTGTTCAGGGCTTAGGCTGCCTTGATGTATAGTTACTTTACCTAAAAGGCTATTTGTATGTAACAGAACTCAGTATCCTCTCTTCATTATGTATTACAGCCCATTTTTATTTTCTTCTCTTTAAGGTGGTTTAGATTAGAATCCAAACAAGGAAAACGAATCAAAAACAGGGGTGAGATAAAGGTCAATATTCAGTTTATGAGGAACAATATGACCGCAAGTATGTTTGACTTATCAATGAAGGACAAAACCAGATCTCCTTTTGCAAAGTTAAAAGATAAGATGAAGGGTAGAAAAAATGATGGAACATTTTCTGATACGTCTTCTGCAATCATTCCGAGTACTCACATGCCTGATGCCAATAGTGAATTTTCAAGTGGTGAAATACAGATGAAATCCAAACCAAAAAAGCCTTTTCTTTTGGGTCCTCAGCGACTTTCGTCAGCGCATTCAATGTCTGATTTATCTGGGTCCCATATGTCTTCTGAGAAACTGAAGGCTGGCACCATAGGTCAAGCACATCTTCTTGGACACCAGTTAGATTCCTTTGGAACAGTTCCAGAAAGTGGTAAGTGCCACATTCTTGTGTCCTCATTGGTCTGAACTACCCTTTTAATTTTTAAAGTTTAATTCCTAAATTTAGTAAATAATAACAGTTGCTTTGTAGTATTTTCCAAATTTTGTCATTCATCAAATATTGAGTACCTACTATTCCTCAAATTGGTAAGTTCCTTGAAGGCAGAGCTTGTCTGCATTTATATTTATATTATTAGATAATAAAATGAGTGCCAGTTTCCTATTATGGCCTGGCTGCCTGTTTTACTGCTGTTTCTACCATCTCAAAACCCTGAGCATAAATGAATGTTCATTTCATCATAAAGTCCCTAGAAGAAAACTTTTATGTTCAGAAGTAAGAAAGTAAATTTAATGCTAATGAAAAAGTCTGAGAATTTTTAGCATTATCATGCCAACCAGAACCTCTAGTTTTGACATCATAGTTTATATGATTGTGAGCTGAATACATTACTAATGGTCTAGCAATATGCTAATTGTTATTAGCCTCGATGCTTCAGACTGCTACACCTTAGCATTTTAAGATTGTTTTCCTTGATTTTTTGAAGGTTAATACGTTTAAGTAGCTAATTGCTCTCATTCTAAAAGCAGCAGAATGCACACAGAATGTGTCAAATAGTGTGATGTAATGTGTCACTGATTATGTACTAACTACAAAATTGTTTGTAGGAAGTCTCAAATCTCCACACAGAAGAACATTAAGCTTTGATACTTCTAAAATGAACCAACCTGACAGCATTGTGGATGAAGGTGAATTGTGTTTCGGAAGACAAAATGACCCGTTTACAAATGTGACTGCTTCATTACCCCAAAAATTTGCAACACTGCCAAGGAAGAAAAATCCATTTGAAGAAAGCAGTGAAACATGGGACAGCAGCATGAATTTATTTTCAAAACCAATTGAAATAAGAAAAGAAAATAAAAGAGAGAAAAGGGAGAAAGTTAGCCTGTTTGAAAGAGTGACTGGAAAAAAAGATAGCAGAAGATCTGATAAACTTAACAATGGGGGATCTGATAGCCCTTGTGACTTGAAATCACCTAATGCATTTAGTGAAAATCGCCACGACTATTTTGATTATGAGTCAACCAATCCATTTACAGCAAAATTCAGGGCTTCAAATATAATGCCATCTTCAAGGTAAGCTTAATATGGGGGAAGTTCTACTATTTGGGAAAATCTTGTGCTTGAAAGTATCAAGTATTTCTTTTAAATACTAGAATATTTTCAAGCCATTTTATTTTATTTGAAAAACATTTTTATTTCTATAATTATAGAGCCAGGCAATGTAGCATATATTTTTGGAACTGAACTTTTTTATCTGAAGAAGATAAAAGACTCTTATTCTCTATCCTGGTCTGCTTCCACTTATGTGAGCCAGAAACTCACCAAAACTTAGAGAGAAAAACAACGTGGCTTGTGATGAGACATGGCAAGAGTGAATTGCCAGTGGGTGTTAGTTCAAGCCAGAAATTTCAGTGATATGCTTCTAGGGATTTGTTCATGGGCTATCTGGAAAGGACCAACAGCAGCCCATGTGCTATTCTTTAAGAAATACCAGCTTCAGTATTAATGGCTTTCCTAATAGATGTTAATTATCTTTATTAAATGGCTATTTAGAAGTGGTTTTTATTTGAGAATGCTTGTTATTGGAATTCAGTGACCCTCATGGGTTTTGTAGGTACACCCAAGGGATCTATATGATGATTTGTAGTCAGAAATAATCACTCATGAGAAAGATTGGATTTTCCAGTTTTGAGTTTTCAGTTATATATATAATGGTGCTTTTCTTATTCCTTAGTATATCTAAATTTATATCTATCTATCTAAATTTAAATCTATATATAAATTTATATCTCTATATATAGATATGAATGTAGATATGCTAAGGAATAAATTTAAATATGGTTATGGATTTTACAGAAGTAAATGATGAAATAGCTGATTAAGGAAACCTCAAGCAAAGAAAAGGTAAATTTATTCCCATCTTGAGTGTAGTTGGCCCCGCATATTTGCAGGTTCTGCATTTTTGGATTCTATCAACCATGAATTGAAAATATTAAAAAAAAAAATAAGAAATAACAATATAGTAATTAAAAAATAATGCAGATTTAAAAAACAGTACAGTGTAACAACTATTTACATAGATTTACATTGTATTAGGTATTATAAGTAATCTAGAGATAATTTAAAATATATGGGAGTTGGTGTATATGTGCAAATACTGTATGTACCAGTTTGTATAGGGGACTTGAATATCCCTGGATTTTGGTATCCTCGGAGTGCTGGAACCAATCTCTCTCAGATACTGAGAGATGACTGTAATTATCTTGGAAGAGCATGCTAGAGTGTTTACCACGTAATAGAAGATTTTCTTCAAGACAATAATAGAGAGTGTACAGACCTGAATGGGAATACTGGCTTAGAAGTGCTATGACCTCCATAAAACTCAGTGTCTCCATCTTTGAAACAAGGAAAATAATCCCACTTGATAGGATTCAGTGAGGATAAATGATATTGTATGTAAAGTACATAATACAAAGCCAGGCCCCAAATAGGGAATCTATAAATGGTGACTACAATTATGTTTGATATGTTGTCATGTTATATTTTACTAAAAAACAGTGCTTGGTTTTGTCCCACTAGAAACAGCATATAGAGTATTAACAATCAATCACACTTTTAGGCTGTGCCCTCTCACCTCTCTTATGTATCTTCCATGATATTTTAACAACTTGCATTTAAAGTTTTCAAAGTGAAGTGTACTTTTTTGTTTTCTTTTACCTATAAATGGATATTTGCTGTGGTTTAAAAGAGTATTCAGTTCTGTTTATAGACCATACTCCAGAAAAATAACATTTTTATTATATGATATCAATATGTTATTGAGTTTATAGTTTTGATATGCCATTCAAAAATATTTTGGTATTTTACATACTGTACTTCACATATTACATTACATCTTATATGGGTAAATAGAAATATATTTGCTTCTTTCCCCCTTTACTAAACTTTTTTTACAGAAGGTTGTTGGAAACAACTGTCCGAGATAACTTGGATATTGGATAATTTAGCTAATTTTAGAGTCAAAGAAAAGCAAGAAAATGGGAAATGGTAGGAAAATAATGTTTTTACATTATGGGTGCATATGAAAAAAAAAAAAAGCTTATTGAGTATTCTTAAATCTTTAATTGCCCTATATTTGAGCTATTTATGTGGGCTCTTACGGGTTTTAAAAATGCATGTGGCATTTTGACACATCTCGGCTTTGTTTTCAGTTACTTTATTAGAGCTGTTTTATGATGTATAAAATGATTGCAAATATGTAAAAAAAAATAGTTGTTTTTCACATTATGACTTTCTCTTCTTCATATTTATGAGATACCAGATATGAGGACAGAACATTTGTAGATTCCTAGGAAGTTATTCTTTTTGCATCACAAACCATCCGTGTGGTAAATGTAAAACATTTGCAGTAAAGGGGTGGTTCTGGTTAATCTTATAAGAAAGAAGAATTGAATATAAATAGACCCAAGAAGAGTGTGCAGTTCACACTTTTGGCAAGCAGCTTTATCTTGAGTGGAATTTGGGAGGATATGGCCCAGGTAGCGTTGTCTTTATGTAACAGTATATTTCTATTTTTCCTCCCAGTATCAACCCTCAGCTATCTGGGACATTTTAAATTTCACACATTAACATCCTAACCAAATGCACTTTTGGAGCTAGGGACTCACATCAGTAAGACACGTGCTGTGAATTTTTTTCAGGAGTGCTCAATAGACTTATTTACAGTTTCCTGGACTCTTGTGGCCAGTGTTTGTGAGAATGTTGAACAAGGTTAAGGGTAAAATACGTAGCTATGGAACTGCAGTTTCTTCTTGGTGAGTGAACTGGCTCACTTGTGATTGCAGGTACCTAGGAACCATATTGTTACCCTCTGGTTGAATAATGTATATGATTAAAACTGGAAAATTTTCTTTATGCCCCAAATTTTAAAATGTACCGAGGCACACTTTTTTTAGAAGTTAGACTTTTTATTCCTTAGTGTTAAGTAAAATCCACCTGAAGAAAGCACTTTGGAAACCACAAAAAATACCACATTTTGATTCTGTCCTTGGAATAGGTCCCATAGTTTTACATAAAACTGATAGAGGAAATTAGGCATTATCTTGGGTTACTTCAGCAAAGAGCAGGGCTCTTTGAAACACTTTTCCCCAAAGTTACTAATTTGCAGTCTCTTACATGCCCCTATTTCTTTGAAGCGTTTCCTGTTCTTGTAGGGAGGAGTAGTTGTTCCCTCTGCTGCAGCATTTTCTTACGTAAGTCTTGTCTTCTGTGGGAATGGCATTGTTCACTAATAGCTTAGTCTCACTTTTCTTACCCACTACCGTGAAGAGGTTGAGAGCAGGGTCTGCATTTCATTCCTCTTTTTGCCCTTAGTCTCCAGTGTGATGCTTGGTAGGTAGTATTAGATATTTTGAATAAACACAAACAGTATAGCAGACCAGTTTCTTAATGCACACAGTATAGCATACCGGTTTCCTAATGCACACAGTATAGCAGAACAGTTTCCTGAAATGCCACTCTCATTCCGTTAGCCTGCTACTTTCAGCCTGGCTGGCCTGGGCTGTGAAGATCTTTCTAATAGACTGAAAACAGATGCATAAAGCCAGATGTATGCGTTTTTGTGTACAACTAAACATTGTTAAAAATCTGAAGTTTTAAAGGATTACTGAAATTTAATATGCAATCTAAATAGCACATGTCTGGAGTCTATTAAGAACTGTGTATTAGGGTAGGTTGTCAGCTGTAATAACCACAGGTATCAGTGGCTTATCACAGCAGAAGTTTATTGCTCACTCTTGTCACAAAGCAGTTCACTGGGATGGTGATAGGAAAAGTGAGTGCTTTGCTCTGTGCGTTCATCTGGCTCTGCACAATCTCTCAGGAAGCAGGCTTCTTTCTTCTTGTGAT